AACAGGACAAAACACATCGCCCTCCGTTACTTCTTCGTCAAGGAAGAAATCTTCAAAGGGAAGGTCATCCTGAAATACTACACTACAGAAGTAATGACAGCCGATTTTCTGACAAAGAAACTCCCACGCGGCAAGTTTCAATACTGCTCCAGCTTGGTTGGAATCTGCAAACGAGGTGATACTTACCCAGAGACATACACTAAGGAATGAAGGGGAGTGTTGAAGTATACTCGACAGAGTTTACTTATGCATTCCTGATATAACATTTCGACTGTACTAGTAGCGCGATACCTCATATGGAAGGACGCGAGTGATGGCGTCTGCAGTAGCGAGTCAACGCGTGAACTGTAGGTTCGCGCGTATAGTCACCCGAAGGGTCACGCCACTCTCAGCCACACGAACAGTCACTATTCATGTCGCGCGAATAGTCGTGATACACTTCGAACAAGTACATTCCGAATAGATACTTCCTAGACTATAAATATGCCCGTATTACTCATTATTATCCTTGTCATTTTGGACATTTCCAATACAAGGTGTAATGTCTTCCGCTGAGCTAACGAGCAAAGCACAGCACAAGAGGGAGGGAGGGAGGGAGGGAGGGAGGGAGGGAGGGAGGGAGGGAGAGAGGGAGAGAGGGAGGGAGGGAGGGAGGGAGGGAGGGAGGGAGGGAGGGAGGGAGGGAGGGAGGGAGGGAGGGAGGGAGGGAGGGAGGGAGGGAGGGAGGGAGGGAGGGAGAGAGAGAGAGAGAGAGAGAGAGAGAGAGAGAGAGAGAGAGAGAGAGAGAGAGAGAGAGAGAGAGAGAGAGAGAGAGAGAGAGATTCAGAGCGAGAGCGAGGGGGATGCTGAGTGCGAGAGAGAGAGTGAGGGATGCAGAACAAGAGAGAGGGGGATGCAGAGCGAGAGAGGGGGGGATGCAGCGCGAGAGAGAGAGGGAAGTAGAGCGAGGGAGAGAGAGGGGGATGCAGAGTGAGAGAGGGGAGAATGCAGCGAGAGAGAGAGAGAGAGAGAGAGAGAGAGAGAGAGAGAGAGAGAGAGAGAGAGAGAGAGAGAGAGAGAGAGAGAGAGAGAGAGAAGGGGGGGGATGCAGAGCGAGAGAAAGGGGGATGCAGAGCGAGAGTGAGAAAGGGGGATGCGGAGCGAGAGAGAGGGGGATGCGGAGCAAGAGAGAGAGAGAGAGGGGGATGCAGAGTGCGAGAGGGGGTGATGCGCGGCGAGAGAGAGGGGGATGCGGGTCGAGAGAAAGGGGGATGGGGGTCGAGAGAGAGGGGGATGCGGAGAGTGAGAGAGGGGGATGCAGAGCGCGAGAGGGGGGCATGCGGAGCGAGAGAGAGGGGGATGCGGAGCGAGAGAGAGGGGGATGCAGGACGAGTGAGAGGGGAATGCGGGACGAGAGAGAGGGGGATGCGGAGTGTGAGAGAGGGGGATGCAGAGGAGAGGAAGAAAGAGGAGGTAGGAAAGGGGGAGGATAAGGAGGGGAAAGTAGGGGGTGAGGACAGTTAGGAGCTGAGGAATGGAGTGAGGAGGACGGAGGCTGGAGTGCGTGGAGGAGGCTGCTGGGAAATATTCCAGCGCAGCCTCCCTGCTTTCTGCCTCCGTGCTTTCTGCCTCCCTGCTCTCTTCCTCCCTGCTCTCTTCCTCCCTGCTCTCTTCCTCCCTGCTCTCTTCCTCCCTGCTCTCTTCCTCCCAGCTTTCTTCCTCCCTGCTTTCTGCCTCCGTGCTTTCTGCCTCCCTGCTCTCTTCCTCCCTGCTCTCTTCCTCCCTGCTCTCTACCTCCCTGCTCTCTTCCTCCCTGCTCTCTTCCTCCCTGCTCTCTTCCTCCCTGCTCTCTTCCTCCCAGCTCTCTTCCTCCCTGCTCTCTTCCTCCCTGCTCTCTTCCTCCCTGCTCTCTTCCTCCCTGCTTTCTGCCTCCGTGCTTTCTGCCTCCCTGCTCTCTTCCTCCCTGCTCTCTTCCTCCCTGCTCTCTACCTCCCTGCTCTCTTCCTCCCTGCTCTCTTCCTCCCTGCTCTCTTCCTCCCTGCTCTCTTCCTCCCTGCTCTCTTCCTCCCTGCTCTCTTCCTCCCTGCTCTCTTCCTCCCTGCTTTCTGCCTCCGTGCTTTCTGCCTCCCTGCTCTCTTCCTCCCTGCTCTCTTCCTCCCTGCTCTCTTCCTCCCTGCTCTCTTCCTCCCTGCTCTCTGCCTCCCTGCTCTCTTCCTCCCTGCTCTCCTCTCTCCTCCCTGCTCTCTTCCTCCCTGCTCTCTTCCTCCCTGCTCTCTTCCTCCCTGCTCTCTTCCTCCCTGCTCTCTTCCTCCCTGCTCTCTTCCTCCCTGCTTTCTGCCTCCCTGCTTTCTGCCTCCCTGCTTTCTGCCTCCCTGCTTTCTGCCTCCCTGCTTTCTGCCTCCCTGCTCTCTTCCTCCCTGCTCTCTTCCTCCCTGCTCTCTTCCTCCCTGCTCTCTTCCTCCCTGCTCTCTTCCTCCCTGCTCTCTTCCTCCCTGCTCTCTTCCTCCCTGCTCTCTTCCTCCCTGCTCTCTTCCTCCCTGCTCTCTTCCTCCCTGCTCTCTTCCTCCCTGCTTTCTTCCTCCCTGTGTTCTTGCCCCCTCTCTCTCCCTTCCCCCTTGTTCTTACTCCCTCCCTGCTCTCATGCTCCCTGACCATCCCTCACTCGCTGCCCATCCCTCACTCGCTGCCCATCTCTCACTCGCTGCCCATCCCTCACTCGCTGCCCATCTCTCACTCGCTGCCCATCCCTCACTCGCTGCCCATCCCTCACTCGCTGCCCATCCCTCACTCGCTGCCCATCCCTCACTCGCTGCCCATCCCTCACTCGCTGCCCATCCCTCACTCGCTGCCCATCCCTCACTCGCTACTTATCCCCTCTGTCCGTGTTTGACTTTCACCCTCTTCCCAGCTCTCACTTCCCCCCTCCTCCCAGCCACGATTGCGTGCGCGTGATAGTGTTCAACTCAATGTGGCAGAGGCCACGGCGGAGTTGGGCAATGATGAGTCATGAAGAGATTGAAGGCGTGCTGGTGATGCAAAGCCACCACCAGGTGACGAGGCTGCAGGGAAACAGCAGGGAGGTGGATCGATTGAGGAACTGTAAAACGAATGTGTGCATTGAACTTGGACACTCAAACAGTGTTAACAGAAAGCTCATAAACTTGAACCAAGGGCCTTTCTCTAACTTCCTTCCTGCAGTCTCCCGCCAGGGTGGGTTGTCAACACCTTGAGTGAGTTTCTTCAGCGTGACAAAGGGACGTCCAGCGACAGCTACGCACACACGGAGGGAGGGAGAGAGAAACAGGGAGGATGGAGTGGCACACTCCGTTCCCCCTCCCCTGCTCTCACTCCGCTCCCCCTCCCCTGCTCGAACCCCTCACTTCCCCCCGTGCTCTCATGCCTCTCTCCCTTCCCTGCTCTCACTCCTCTCTCCTTCCCTTCCCCCCTTGCCTCACTCCCTCCCCTTCTCTCGTTCCCGTGTGCTCTCGCCTCTCTCCCTCCTTTCCCCTCACGCCTCACTCCCTCTCTGCTCTCACGCCGCTATCCCTCTCCTTATCACAACCCTCACTTTTTCCCATGCATTCACGCCTCTTCCCCTCCCCTGCCCTCACGCCTCTTCCCCTCCCCTGCCCTCACGCCTCTCCCCCTCCCTGCGCTCCCTCCTCTCCCCCTCCCGCAGCGGGCCTCTTTCCGTTCGCTGCTGCGTCGCCACTTGCCCTTCCCTGCTCTCACTCTTCACTCAGCGTGGGAAAGCGGGCCGCGAGGAAAAGCGGGAAGCGGGAAGCGAGGAAAAGCGGGAAGCGGGAAGCGAGGGAAAGTGAGCCCGCGAGAGGCAGCGGGGAGCGGGAGAGCTTGGGAAAACGGGAAGCGTAGGAAAGCGCGAAGCGGGTAGCTTGGGAAAGCGAGATGCGGGGAGGGAGGGCAAGCGGGCAGCTGGAAAACGGTCCTGGAGCATACAGAGGGAGCGACTCGCAATCAAACGCGGGACGCGGGAGCGCGGTAAGCTGGATGCGACATAAAGCGAGGGGAGGCAGGGAAGTGTTGAGGCGAGGGAATGCGGGAAGCGTGGGAAAGCGTGTAGAGGGAGAAGGCGGGAAGCG